TATAACTATGTTGATGACAGTATGGTAGATGAGATGAAAACAATCAGAAGTATAAATAAACGGCCTTTCACCATTATTCGGCAGCCATATTGAATTTTCACTTTCAATGGGGTTTAAAATAGATTTTTCAGACTTAAATCAATAATTTCTTAAATAAATGAAGCCTGGCAACATACTACTGTTTTCTCAGTTTTACAAGATTACAAATTTTTATGAAATCTGAAGTAATGTGTGTTTTTGTTTACCTGGGAGTGAACGTTCATGTGCTGCTCCAGGCTCACAGCGTGCCCAAAGGTTTTCCTACAGATGCTGCAGCCAAAAGGTCTCATTCCGCTGTGCGACCGCCTGACATGAACCTCCAGTCCATGAGAAGTTGAGAACACCTGAACAACAAGAAACAGCAAAAACAACCTGAGTAAATTAAAGGCAAATGTTGATTTTATTTGCTAACAGAAAACATTTACTCAAACCCCTGAGCCGCACTTTGGACACCCCTGAGTGGAATAATTTGTACAAGACAAGGTTGGTTTTGATTGGCTCTTATTTTAATAAATGAAATCATCATTTTAAATATTGACATTCCATGCAGTGATGAGAAAAGCTGCCTACTTTGTCGCAGGTGATGCAGTGGTAGGTGTTGGAGGTGGGGGAGTAGTGCGTGCTGCAGTCCAGCGGCTGCTGCGGCGGCGGACTGCGGCTGATGTGGCCGCCGTACAGGCTGCTGGCGTGCTGCAGCACCGTGGGGCTGAAGCTCAGCTGCCGCAGCTCGTAGGACGACGACACCGGCTCCCAGGCGTACGAAGGCTTGTAGTAAGGTGGGAACTCGGCCATGTGGGGCTCTAACACAGGAAGAACAAGTGGAGAGGTGAAATATTATGTTTCCCTTTACAGGTTGGGACACAAAACATGTTCATTACAGTTTGTGCACAAAGTCATTCTTTGATAATAAGATTTCAGCTTTCCAGCAGCCATTGTACAGCACACAGAGCAGTAAAACCAGCTGACCAACCATACCGGAGTTCCGCTTGAGTTGCTAGGTAACAGGCTGGGGTTGCTAGGCAACGGCGCAGTGCCTGTGGATTTGTGACGTTGCATTCCGGAGGTTTTTTGAAATGGCTCATTTCGGGACACCAAAAACAATTAACTTATTGCCAAAAAAAATGCTAAGTGTTTTCCTTAGAAAGCAGCTGAGAACTAGATGGAAGTACAAAACGTTTACATAGTGTCAAATTTATTCTTTAAAAATGGGACATTGGATATCATTTAGCATTTACATGCAAATATATGAGATTATAGCCAAGTGACTAATTTTCATATCTAGTTCCACTGGCAGGATGATGATAATGTAAAGTTTAATGAGAAGAAAAGAAGAACAAGCAGAATCAGACTACTGCATAAAACCTTTCCACTGAACTCTGATCTAGAACCGCACAGCATTCTGGGAGATGTAGGCGTACAGACTTATAGCCGCTCAACCTCTCTCAGCCAGTTAAGTTTGTTTGGTGCAATCAACTAACTCACTCACTCTTTGGTTACCTAGCAACAACCTGCTGGATAACAAGCAGCAGTTCCAGGTTTCGCCATAACTGCTTAAAACTAAACAATAACTGCGGATAAAACAGGAAAGACCTCAGTTTGGCAGCATTTCACACATTTAAAACACAAAAACTACTCAATACATAGTTTTCATGTGACGTCACACCTCCGTGAACTTTGTAACTGACAGCCATGTTGCCAGGCGGTTGCTATGGAGTTTCTATGACAACGATAACAAGCCTCAAACTTAGCGCTAACTCTCGACTCGTTCCTATCTAACTTACAAACAATAAAATACATTACAACTACTTGAGTACTCTACAGATCTCTGTGTAATACTAAGATAAATATCTGAGATATTTACTGTTGTACTGCCGAACTAGCAAAATTAGCTTAACTAATGTAACTTTTATCTGCTAGCTAACACCGACATGTAGCCTACGTGTTTGTTACTTCATTTACTTTGCCAATCACCAGAACCTTGTTAATCTGAAGAGTTTGCATCCTTTACAAATCCGTTTAAACGTTGATTATTTTGTACTCAATTTTTGTGTTAAATAGGCTGCTAACTGTATCATAGTATGAAATCGGAGGAACATCTCCGTTTTATACGAGTCAATCAAACTCAAACTGGTCAAGAATGTCCACATATTTTCTTTTTGTTGATCTCAAGCCGCTATGCTTTACGCTGTGTTTGCCTATTAAGATGGCGCGGACCACTTCCGGTTCAGACTTGTTTGGAATTATGTATATGATTATTTATATCAGCAGATGTGAAACGCTTAAAAAATCCGGACAGGCCCCTGCTAATGTAAAGCTGGTCTGGTTGAGGTACCGACCTGTCAGGTAGTAGGGCTGAGAGGGCGCCAGCGGCGGGCTGGCCGGCTCTGGGTGAGCAGGTAACGGACACTGCGGCTCTGAATCCTCCGGAGGGGAGCACCGGTCTGCGGACAGGGAGGGGCCCTCAGACAGGGGCTCCTCTGATGAGTCTGTGCTCTGCAGCTGCGACGGGACTTCTGATAAATGCACAAGAAATAAACAAAACAGTTGAGCACATTGCAAGCAGCTTTAATTTTTAATGCGTGCAACATTTAATCAAATGTTTATTTAGCGAAGAAAAGGTGATGCATTTTCCATTTAAAGTTTCAGATAAAGTCTTACCCTGGTCTTCAGACTCCGCCGGCTGATCCTCTTCATAAGTGCGATGGATGTTATAAGAGGCGCACCGTTTGTTTTTCACCAGAAATGACCGCGGCATGTTGATTCTGCGTCGCAAAAATAGCACACAAAACGTTTCATATTTGTTTTTAAATCAAATTAAGTATTCTAAAATGTCATTATAATGTTAAATAAATATTTAAGCTACACATTAGAATATGTTTTTTAAGGTTTTAGAATTGGTTAGAGCTAAAATGTAACTTTGAAGAAGTTTTTATTCTTGTTTACCGAAAACAATTAAAGATATTGTTGTTAACTGCCTGCTTGCGTTATTATACAATTTATGACAATGTGCAACAGTTGGCACCGACTCACCGTTAATTGAGCCCGAATTAAAACAACAATAATAAACTTTATAGATCCAAAATGCGTCGCAAGGAAAAAAAAAAGAAAAGAAACACAGAGAAAGAAATCCGTTTCCTAAAAGTTGCAGGCGCGTTAAGCAGAGTAAGAAGCATCATCAGCGCTCGCAGCTCGGTCTTTTTCTCCCCTCCCTGATTTTCAATCAGATAACTTCGCAGGGGAATCTGACTGTGGTTTCAGCCAATGAAAAGGCCAAGCTGCAGGTGGAAATTTGCTTAGAAAAACAGCGGCCTTCGGAACAGTTATACAAAACAGCCGCGAGTGCATGAGGGGGGAGAGACTTTTTAAAAAAAAATACACAACAGCACGTTAAATATGCGAAATATGCAACAAAAAAAATTAAAAATAAATCCTGCGTAATTAATTAAAATGCAGAAACAAGAACAACAAAAACTTTACTTCAACTTTTAAAAGAAATCTCTAACGCTTTCTGTTTGGTTTACTGGATTTACACAAAGTAAAGTAAAATAAAGTAAAGTTGTGTGTAAGATTTACGAGTCTTAATCTTCCACATATGTAACTTTAGCGCCTCCAAAGATACACATACCAAACCAGTCTGCTTATCCAAGCACAGCTAACTGGTGGTTGCTATGGCGACACAGAAACACAATTTATTCAGTCAATTAAATGAAAAGTTCATTTTAATACTAATAATAACCACAACCATCATCATCTTCCTCTTCTTAGTCATCATTATTATTTGTGAGAGTTTCGGTGTAAGAAGGACAAAATTAAGTTTGAGTGCAAGAGCGACATCTAGTGGACAGAAATATCAACGTGCCACATAATATAATATAATATAATATAATATAATATAATATAATATAATATAATATAATATAATATAATAACATCATGTCATAAAATATGTTACTGCAAATATCGCAATGTTCATTTATTTCAGTAACTCCATTCAGTGAAGCAGATTATTTGCACACATTTGATGTTTTTAAGTCTTTATTTCTGTTAATTATGATGAGTTTATGCTACGGTTATTGAAAATACAGCATCAGACAAATGTGGTGATATAATGCTGCCATCATGTGAACCTGATGTGATGCACAGTGTATTAGTCTCAGTCTAAAGTTAAATTAAGAGTTCATGGTGAGATAAGTCAAATCTGGCTTCATTTCAGCGAATAAGTAAGAACTGATAAATATTTCAGTCTTTGTGTGCAAAAATGATCGAGACAAAAACTGGCAGCTGTAAAGGCAACATAAGGTGTTTTTATTTAGGGTCCCTAATATATAATCATTAGGATTGGTATTCTGACTTTAAAATCAGAACTGTAGTTTTATTATGAAATTTAAAATTTTATTATCAGAATTCTGATTTTATTATGATACTTTAATCAAAAAGATTTTGGACTTGAATCTCAAAATTTTGACTTTAACCTCACATAATTCTAACTTTATTAACAAATTTCAAACTTTAATATCAGACTTTTTTGCTTCAATCTCCGAATTATGACTTTAATCTATGAGAAATCAGACTTTAATCTCAAAATTCTGATATTAATCTCAGAATTCTAACATGATTATTATTATTATTAAAATTTCAAACATTATTATCAAAATTCTGAGTTTGATCTATGAGAATTCAGACGTTAATCTCAGAATTAAGACTTTTCTCTCAGAGTTATGATATTTTGTTGTCGGAATTAAAACTTTAATACCAATTTTCAAACTTTATCATCATAATTTTGACTTTAATCTCACAATCCCGACTTTAATTTTGGAATTTTGACATCAAGATTTCAGATTTTTTTTTCTACAGTGGAAATAATTATCTTCTGCCACACTAACAAAACCCACACCGACGTGTTTCTGTAAAATCTTATTTAATTTGCTTTTAAAAAGTAAAACTAAATCGCGCGTGCGCTCTCGGCATGTGGGTCACGCGAAGCCGCATTACACACAGTTCAGCCCTTCAGCAGCAGCGATGGGAAAACAAACTTTAACTGCGCGACAGAGATAAGAATCAGCCGCTATCCGTGTGGAAGCTCGAGCGGAGTGTCGGCTGTCGGGATTAGGATGATTTTCAGAAGCTGTCCCGGTTCGGTGCTGGTGGAAAAGCGGCAGCATTGAGGCGCAGAGCCGCTCGGAGTTGCGGGATTAGTTCGCTCGCAGCCTGACAGCGGAGGCTGACTGCGGTGGGATGGGCTGTGAGGTGTTCAAGATGGCGGCGCCCTGTGGAGTGAATCTACTCTAACAGGTAAACAGCTCCACTTATTTGTGAATAATCCGGTTTGTTATCAGCGGGTTCCAGCTCAGATGTTGCGTTGGGTTCAAACCGAACCGATCTGGCCGCTGTAGGTCGAACCGAGCCGGACTGACATGGGGAATAAATGTTGCTCGGAGTGTGGGTCGCTGCTCCCAGCTAACGTTAGCTGTCGGCGCTGGGTTGACTTGTGTTTTTTTCCCTCCTGGACAGACCTGGTGATGGATAGAGTTGATTTTTCAAAGGTTATATCTTGGTTTTATCTTTATTTATGTATGTTTTGTAAAATCGCTGCTCGGCGTGTCACGGAAAAGAAATGTTCGTGTTTTAGAAGCGGGTAAAGTAAAGCCAAGCCTGCCCATTGTTCTCTGCGAGTTGTTTACGACAAGCAGCAGCAGCAGCAGTCAGTGGTCAGTCTTCATGCAGCAGCGGCTCCTCTGCCTTTCTGACTGAACCATGTTGCATTTAATGCATCTCAATGCTTGACTTTACCTTCATCATGCAACCAGCTAGCAGTAAATATTCACGGATTTTTGTTGTTGGTTTCTTCGAGTTAAAGCCATCAGGATGTTTTTGCTAGAGCCTGCAAAATAATTCAAAATTCAGTGCGTTTTCAATTCATTTCAACAATTATTTCTTTATTTTTAAGTAAACGCGTATGATTTAAGTGTCTTTGGTAGCAGTCAGTGTTGCAGCTAATCTAAAGACACTTCTGACTGAAGATTTTCGATATGACAGTCTCATGACATGCTAACAACTCAGTTTCCCAACAGAGACAGTATTTCACTAACATGACCTGGATGACATCATCAGCTGTTAGGAAGCTCTGCTAATCCACCTCATTTGCTTTTGCTTCTCCTCTTTAAACTTCTATTTGGTTTTATGGTTGCTGTTATGGTTCTCTTTCTGCTCTGCATCCATGATGTCTCCTTTTCAACTCCTCTGGGATTTTTGGGTCGTAGTTCAGGCATGATTTGAGCTTATGAGATGCTAATCAGCAGCCTCCAGTTGTAAAATTGATGCCTTGTTGCCTCGGTTACGCATCATAACCTTTTTCTGAAGGCAGGAAAGTAAGAGCAAAAATACTTCCAGCTGCACAGCATTCAGTAATTATCCAAACATACAGCGACTTGACCAAAAATACAACCAATCAGAGCTAATGTAGCACCGCTATTCTAAAATATATGTTTTTTTATTAAACATTTACAACAAACTAATAGAAAATAGAGACAAATGTCACACACCTTGACAGCTTTAAAGTCACAAAAATGGAAACAACTTTCCAGTAATGCTAAATCTGGATTACGAATATATATATAAAACTACACAAGTGCACATTTGTTGCTGTCCAGTCATACCTAATATCCTGTGTGGAATAAAGTTTTCAATAGTTTTGAAATGAGAAGGGAAAGTTTTCCTCCTCGTGTTTGAGATCTTTCTGGATGTTGGATGTTTTGAAGTGGATCTGCTGCAGTTCTGCAGGTTCCCAACATAATGAGACCCTAAAAACACCCAGAGAAAGCTACAATGATCAAAGCATGTTCATGTGTTAGAAAGGCCTAGTCAAAGTCCAGGCTTAAATCCAAAAAGGAAGCTTATTAGATGCATCCTTGCCCCAACAAGCTAAACGTTTTCAGCTGCTCTGATCGCAATAATATCATATTAATCCAAGTACACCCTCTCCTAGATGAAAATAAAACTTTAATTTCTGAAAAATATTTAACATTGGGGCTGGAAAACAGTTTAAATACCCAAATAAATAAACAAACAAAACAAAACATGGATTATGGATTCTCTGTCACCAAAATTGTTTCAAAAATGATTAATTGTTTAAAACTGAAATGTTTGACACAGTTGACTGTGAAACCATTTATTCCTCATTCATGAAGAAAACCTCAAGATATTTTGACTCTAATGGAAAAGACTCAGTGCTTCGGTTTAGGATTTTATTAAACCTCCTTCAGTTGAATAAATGGCTGAGAGCAAACGGGGCAAATAACACAAACAGAAATGTTCATTCGATTTCCCAAACAAAGTTTTTCATCTTCTTTCTGAGTATCCATTGAGCAGTATGACGGCTCGTTAGGGCCACTGAAGTAAGAAAAAAAAATTAATTTAGAAAAATTTCTAGAAAAAAACAAGGACATTTTTGAGCTCCAAAAGTGAAAAAAATTGCTAAAAAAATCTCCAAAATTTTGAGATTAATCTCAGAAAATTTCAAGAAAAAAAAAATCTAATTTCTGAGTTTGTAAAGTCAAAAATGTGCGGGGGACAAATTTTGAGATTAATCTAAGAAATTTTCAAACGTTGAAAAATGGGTTAAATAGCCAGAAACTTTGTAGATTTTATTTTATTTTATTTATTTTTTTTCAAAATTTTCTGAAATTCAAAAGTTGAATATTTGTGTGAGAAAACTCAGTAATGTTGAGATTAAACCCAGAAATGTTGAAGAAAAAACAAAGTTTCTGAGTCTAAAAGTTGGAGATTTGTTAGAAATTTTGAGCTTCCAGATGAACATTTTTGAGTTTCAAAAGTCGGAAATTTTCTGAGTTTCAAGAGTTTAAACTTTTTACACTTTTTGAAGCTCAGAAATTTCCTTGTTCATTCTAGTAATTTTCTGAGATCAATCTCAGAATTTCAGCGTTATTCGGCCGACATTTACTCCTTTTCATTGGTTTTCCATCGACAGTAGCCCCAATTCGCCGCCGTCTTCAGCGGCTGGCGTCTCCCGCTCAGATAGTTATCGTTTCCAGTGCCTCCCTGGCCGCGCCGGCGCTGCATAAAGCGTCTTTGTGCGACGCAGAGCATTCCCCGGCTGCCTGAGATCACATTGAGTGTTGCTCATGTTTGTGTCTGCTCTCCTCGCCCGGACGTCCAGCCACATGAGTCAGCAGTCGATTGAAACAGAGGGACGATTGAGCTGCGGATGCTGCGCCGCATCAGAAACAAGCGCTGAGCTGATTGGTCATGGAAGAAGCACAGCTGCGTTTGAAGAAACTTTCAGTTGATGGTCATGTTTTAGCAGCTTTCTCTGCTCGGACGTTTGGAGTGAGATCTGAGGAGCCGATGAGATCGGCTTGAGCTGAATCATTGTTCCAGGTTGGTGATAAGCTGCCTGGCATTAATGAGCTGCCCGTCAGGATTACACTGCAAATCTGCTGCCAACAGAATATCTAATCTTTGTTGATATTAGAAAACATCCAGGTTGTTAATTTTGATCTTCAGTTCCATTTTCCTAAATGAGGCCGAGGAAAGTTGGTGCCTCAGGAAAAGAAACTAAAGGCCTGGATTTATTTTATTAATCAGATCAAAGCAGTTTTTATCTGCCAAATTATCAATCAATACCTCCTGTTTTTTGCAATTCTGCAATTTTTAATGCACAATTTATTGCACATTTTCTACAAATGTTTCTACAGAAGCGTTTGTTTTAAGTGATGCTAACTCCCACCTGCAGGTGGCAGTATTTCTTACTTCTACTACTCTGCTGCTCCAGCCTGACTTGATATAAAGTTACTGTCTGTTCGGCATGGTGACTACAAAAGTCACATTTTCCGCCTAAAATAGGCGTAAATATTCCCAAATTACTTATAAATATTTCCAAACTAGCTTCACAAGTTCAGTGATATTCTAAGGAAAAATCACCAAAATGGCAAAAACCTGGAGGGACTGATTACTGGGATCAATCCATCAATGACAGGAAATAATTTCAAAATGCAACTCAAAAAATATTTATATTTTATTATTTTACAAATTAAAATTTCAGAATCCCAAAATTCAATTAATCAACAAAATTGATTTATCGCCCAGCATTAATCTGGATGAAGGCAAAAATGACTTATATGGTTAATCATAATTAATCAAAATTTTATTGCATCTTTAAAGGTTTTTCTTATTTTAAAAAATGAATTCAATTATTTATTTGCATCTTTTAATGTATTTCTAATATTTTTTATATAAAAAAGGCTCAAATGGATGAATGAAAAATCTGTAGAATGTGCCAATTTTTTTTATCAATCGATTGGAGTATACAAACTAAAAAAAATCCATTTGCTGTAAGAACAACATAGTCAGGGCAGTAAATAATCCAAAACCGTAAAAAAAATATACATTTTGTATTTATGATTTAAAAAAAAAAACATTTGTCTCTAAATATATTTTCCCAAAACTCCTCAGATTGCGTAGTGTTAGCTTCCGGTGTAAAGAACGCTGTGGTATCTCATTTAAAATGTTTTTCTTATTTTAAAAAACGAATTATTATATAGAAAATGTTTAAGTAGTTAAATGAGAAATCTGTAGAATGTGCCAATTTAAAAAAACGATTGTTAGAATAATCGATTTCTAAATTAATCGTTAGTTGCAGCTCCTGTCTGACTGTGTGCAGAATCCTCTCAGATTTTAAATGACCCAGAGACGTTCTGGATCCGTTTCTGACTCTGGGTTTGGGTTCTGACCCGCCAGCGGTGCCTGGAGACTGTATTGGTGGGCGGGCCCCAGGAGTCCTCCAGGCAAGCCGGGTCTGACACTGGGAGAGAAACGCGGCCTGCACCTCCAGCACTGCCACCATGGCCAGGGAGCAGCCCAACGTCGGGGACCTCCTCCCGCTCCTGGAGACCTCCGACCTCCAGCAGCTCGAAGAGATCCGGAGCCTCATCAACGAGCAGCTCAGCACCGGTGGGTCATCCGGCTCCGTCGACCTGAGCAGAAGTAAACGAACGAGCCGGTTAAAAATGCTGCTTCCCTTCCAGAGCGAGGCTCCATGCTGCTGAACGGGTTGGTGGACTACTTCCTGGAAACCAACTCCGCCCAGGCCCTGCATATCCTGTCCTCAGTCAGAGAGCCGCATGACAAGGTGAGAGTCCGATTCGTTTGTGATTAGCTCTGGCTGTTGCTCTCCTTTATTCCTTTAAGCATAAAAAACATCCGTTTTTTGCTAACTTTGCTTGTTGTAAACGCATCCAACCGTTTGTCCGCCGCCCAGCACCTTCTGGACAAGATGAACGACTGTATGGCCAAACCAGCTTGCCGGCTGCCCACCCTCATGCTGCTCGGCCACGTGGTCCGAAAGCAGCCGTCCTGGATCCACAAGATGGCCCGCTACCCTCTGCTGCTCTCCCTGCTGAAATGCCTCAAGGTGAGCCGCCATGTTGGCACGAAGCAGCAGGGCGAGATGGTTTGGTTTGTTATGATGATCGAGATTCTCATGGAGTTGTTGGTTTTTGGTGGCAGTGAGAACCAGAACCGTCTTCCTGTCACTCTGATTTAAACACCAAGGTTGGTCCTTCAGAATGGAGAGTCCTGATTCTAGAAGACACATTTAGGAAAGTCAGGTTATTAGCCAAGGATGGATGGAGGGATGGATGAATGGATGGATGGATAATTGGATGAATGGTTGGATGGATAATTGGATGGATGGTTGGATGGATAATTGGATGGATGTATGAATGGTTGGATGGATAATTGGATGGATGGTTGGATGGATA